CAATTATTAAAGCTAAAGTTTAGCTTACTTTATTTCATTCCTGAAATACTTCTGTAAACTGAAATGTTCAACTGTATAAAAGGTAGGAATGAAAAGGTAGGTAACTTCAGCTTGTTCAAACAAGCTTTGACAATAAAACCTGGAAGTTGATTGGTTTCTGTGCAGAGCTGTGCCAGATTTTGCACTGTCCAGTATTAGTAAATCAACCCCATTGCATATACTATGCATACATGGAATAGAGCTTAACCTTTTATATATATACATACATATATACATATATATACTGTATATTAATTGTACACTCACCAGCCACTTTAATAGGCACACCTTACTAGTACAGGGTTGGATCCCTTTTGCCTTCAGAACTGCCGTAATTCTTTGTGGCATAGATTTAACAAGGTGTTGGAAACATTCTTCAGAGATTTTGGCTCATATTGACATGAGTTACTGTTGCCTTTCTATCATCTGGAACCAGTCTGCCCATTCTCTACTGACCTCTGACATCAACAAGGCATTTTTCTATTTTTTGGACCATTCTCTGTAAACCCTAGGGATGGTTGTGCGTGAAAATCCCAGCAGATCAGCAGTTTTTAAAATACTCAGACCAGCCCGTCTGGCACCAACAACCATGCCACGTTCAAAGTCACTTAAATCCCCTTTCTTTCCCATTCTGATGCTTGATTTGAACTTCAGCAAGTTGTGTGCACCACGTCTAGATGCCTACATGCTTTGAGTTGCTGCCATGTGATTGGCTGATTAGGAATTTGTGTTATTAAGCAATTGAACAAATTTACCTAATAAAGTGACCAGTGAGTGTGTATACACACTGAAAAAACTATATATAGATATAAACACACACATTTAAATTACATCAGTGGTAATATTAACCCCCTGGTCACACCGATCCGACTTTGAAATCATGCGACTTCCAGTGAAGTCGCAAGATTTCAAAGTTGGATGTCATTCCGACTTGAGGTGCAACTTGCAAGACATCTGCCTAGTTGTCTATGCAAGTCACACCTGAAGTAGTGCATGTACTATTTTTGAAATTGGTGCAGCTCCGACCAAGTCGGAATCACACCCAGCGGCAGACTGACCATCTGGAAACTTGGGCACTGCCCGAGGGCCCGGGGTCAGTAGGAGGCCCCATGAGATGCCTCTGGTACCTTTTTCATACGCTTTTTTGAGTTTGGGGAAGGACACAGGGGCCCCATGACCCCTATTGTCCGGGGGCCCCATGAGTTGTCAGTCCGCACCTGATCACACCACTTTAATTGTGGACAATAGAGTGCAACTTGCAATGTGATTTGAAACTTGCAGGGTAGGGAAACTTGCATGGCAAGTAGCACCCGGTGTGACCGGAGTGTTAGGGAGCTTTCACGCTGCTGCTTTGTGGCCAAGAGCAGTGTATCTGCGGTTCTCGTGCAGGATACCCTCACTTTCCTATAGACTTCTGTTAGATCGGGTGTTTTTGGTGCACTTTTTGAAAGCACACCAAAGATCTATAATACAAGTTACATGCTTGAAAACCTCTGGTATGTTGCACTGCACCCACACTGTGGTGTGAAAACACCCTAAGGCAAGGGTCTCCAAATTATGGCCCTTCAGCTGTCGAAGTACAACAAGTCCCATCATGCCTCTGCCTCTGGGAGTCTTGCCTGTGGCTGTTAGAGTCTTGCAAGGCCACATGGGCCTCAACACCTGGAGGGCCATAGTTTGGAGACCCCTGGCCTAAGGTAAATCTTCAGTTTTGCAGTGGAGAAATCCACTCCAGGGCAACTTCCTACATTCAGATGATTTTATAAACTGCTATTGCAGATTCTTACCTGTCATTGCTTTGTACATTCTAACAGGCTATTCCAATGCCAATCCTATAAAAATGTGATTTAACACTGTATCCCCGATCTCTAGTATCTCTTTGGATGTACAATACTCTTTATAAGTATTTTACCAAAATTAAATTTTTAGAGGTGGACATTAAAGCTCAGTACACATGTACTGAAAGCTGGCCTGTCCAGCAGGCCAACCTTTGATATGTGTGAACTCTTCTCTGTTCAGCAGAATGATCAGCTTCTGTTGAACAGTTATGCTGGAAAATCAGCATTTGATCAGCACCTGAGGTGAGGCTCAGGGATAATGGAACTTGGATAACCAGAAAGCTGAAAATTGTCTATTTTTTGTGGGAAGACTGAAAACTCCTGCAAAGGGTGACAATTTGTTTGTTTTTGAATTGTTCTTTTGAATAAAAGGAGGCATAAAGCCATGAAATGTACTTCAATGGTTAGACTGGTGTTGTGTAAAACCCCCCCCCCCCCCCCCCCCCCCCCCCCCCCCCCCCCCCCCCCCGCTGCCATGCTACAGTGGCAGTGCCTTTGCAGGAAGCATCTCATTGAGTGTGCGTAAATCTGACAGGCTGACTGCCAGGTGGAAATGATCAGATAGCTGCGCAGCCTCCAGGTCACTTTCACACCCACCATGTGCACTGTCATGCTTCCTAGGATCTGCACTCCCATCAGCAGACCTGGGACCTGCATGGTGGGTGCCACCGGTAGAAGGGAGGGAGATCAGTGAGCACCTGTTCGCTGATCTCCCCTTTCTGTTAAAGATCCAGAAGCAATGTAATTTCTGGGCCCTGGTTTCACTGTCCTCAAACAAGATTGGATGATGTTAGCTGGAGACAAAGCCGTCTCCTGCAAACTTCAGCCAATCCATGAAGAAAATGTATCCAGCCAATGAGGGATCGTGCGAGCCGTGCTGCAAGCAACATCACTCCCTCTCAGCTCCTCAGTCAGTCTCCACATGGAGCTAATATTGGCAAGGATTAGCTCCATGTGGAGTTTTATTTCAAGGTTTTATTTGGACTTTTTTTTTTGGTGGGGGGGGGGTGCTCATGCCAGCCCTGTATATATGTGTACTTCTTGCAACAATATGGGACTGCAACTGGTACCAAGGTCACCTGCATATGCAAACACCTTCAAACAACACATTTACAACCATGAATACACTGAATAATATTTTGCTTGGTGGAGTTTTATTGCTGTTGTGCATGACAGCAACCTGGAATCCTTCAATGAATATCAGAATTATCTATATACTTTATCTACCAATATACTATATCAACAGAGCACCAAGTGTGTAGGTGGAGTGGCCCTAGGTAAATCCAAAATTTGCATTGGCAGCTGGGCCATAGCCAGCCTATTTGTTTACATTTTCTGTGCTGTACTGGTTTCTTCAGAGGTCTGGGTGTTAACTTCTTCTGTCTGACATTGTTGAGACGATGCCAATAGTCAGTGGGAGGAGCCAACAACCGAGTTGTGAATATTTATCCTCTCCACCCAATCACTGAGGAGTTTGTTCAGTAGTGTAAGCTGGGGGAAGGTGATAAATGTGTGAAGCAACCTTCCAGGGTGTACTTTTCTCCTCTGGGCTTTGCCCCAGACAGAGTTAGGGTACAATTTACTCCTGGATGACAGTTGCTCTGCTAGAGGGTGTGATCATAGGTAACTGTACACGATATCTGCCTGGAGTATTCAGGAAGAGCTTGGTAGAAGCTGCTGCAGGTCATTGCAAGAAAGAATTACTTGCAAAATAGGGTATTTCTGGCTTCTCTCAAATGGTCAAGGGCCTAAATTGTTTGGAAAGAGAAAGATCCATTGCAAATTAAGAAACCATGGATGCTTTATAGCAGGGGTCCTCAAACTTTTTAAACAGGGGGCCAGTTCACTGTCCCTCAGACCGTTGGAGGGCCAGACTATAGTTCTAAAAAAAAAAAAAACAAATGCGGACACAGTACAGGAGATGATCAGAGACTGCAGACATACAACGGCGGCGGGAATACTGGGCTGGCCGCTCCATAAGACGCACAGACATTTCCCCCCAAGTGTGTCTTATGGAGCGAAACAGTCCCCCATCATTGGTGTCAGTGGGAGGAATAGTGCCCCATCATTGGTGTCAGAGGGAAGAAACGTGCCCCATCATTGGTGTCAGTGGGAGGAATAGTGCCCCATCATTGGTGTAAGAGGGAAGGGAAAACGTGCCCCATCATTGGTGTCAGTGGGAGGAATAGTGCCCCATCATTGGTGTCAGTGGGAGGGAATAGTGCCCCATCATTGGTGTCAGTGGGAAGAATCGTGCCCCATCATTGGTGTCAGTCAGAGGAATAGTGCCCCATCATTGGTGTCAGTGGGAAGAATCGTGCCCCATCATTGGTGTCAGTCGGAGGAATAGTGCCCCATCATTGGTGTCAGTGGGAAGAATCGTGCCCCATCATTGGTGTCAGTTCGAGGAATAGTGCCCCATCATTAGTTCATTAGTGTCAGTGGGGGGAGGAATAGTGTCCCATTATTGGTGTCAGTGGGGGGAGGAATAGTGCCCCATCGTTGGTGTCAGTGGGGGGGGGAATAGTGCCCCGTCATTGGTGTCAGTAGGAGGAATAGTGTCCCATCATTGGTGTCAGTGGGAAGAATAGTGCCCCATCATTGGTGTCAGTGGGAAGAATAGTGCCCCATCTTTGGTGTCAGTGGGAGGAATAGTACGTCATTGGTGTCAGTGGGGGGGAATAGTGCTCCGTCACTGGTGTCAGTGGGAGGAATAGTACGTCATTGGTGTCAGTGGGGGGGAATAGTGCCCCATCATTGGTGTCAGAGGGAGGAATAGTGTCCCGTCATTGGTATCAGTGGGAGGAATAGTGTCCCATCATTGGTGTCAGTGGGAAGAATAGTCCCCCATCTTTGGTGTCAGTGGGAGGAATAGTATGTCATTGTGTCAGTGGGGGGGAATAGTGCCGAGTCATTAGTGTCAGTGGGGGGGATAGTGTCCCAACATTGGTGTCAGTAAGAGGAATAGTGTTCCATCGTTGGTGTCAGTGGGAGGAATAGTGTTCCATCGTTGGTGTCAGTGGGAGGAATAGTGTCCCATCATTGGTGTCAGTGGGGGAAGGAATGGTGTCCCATCATTGGTGTCAGTGGGGGAAGGAATAGTGTTCCATCGTTGGTGTCAGTGGGGGGTGGAATAGTGCCCCATCGTTGGTGTCAGTGGGGGGGGGGGGAATAGTGCCCCATCGTTGGTGTCAGTGGGGGGGAGGAATAGTGCCCCATCATTGGAGTCAGTGGGGGGGAGGAATATTGCCCCACCGTTGGTGTCAGTGGGGGTGGAATAGTGCCCCATCGTTGGTGTCAGTGGAGGGTGAAATAGTGCCCCATCGTTGGTGTCAGTGAAGGGTGGAATAGTGCCCCATCATTGGTGTCAGTGGGGGGAGGAATAGTGTCCCATCACTGGTGTCAGTGGAGGAATAGTGCTTCTTCATTGGTGTCAGTGGGGGGAATAATGCCCCATCATTAGTATCAGTGACACCAATGATGGGGCACTATTCCTCCCACTGATACCAATGACACGTAACTTGCTGACCCCTGCTCCAGCCTAGGTGCTACTGCAGCCAGCATACCTGGTTGCAGCAGCACCATCAGCACGGCACACTTACCTGTCAGCTGTCCTTCTTCACTCCGGCCTCTCTCTCACTCGATGTTCGTGGGGCCGCTTGGCTCCGTCTCCTTGCAGGTGATTGGCCATCTGTGTGCCTTTCCTGAGCTACAGTTCTTGCGCCCAATCACCGGTGAGGAGGCGGAGCCGAGCGGCAGGAGTTAGGGAGTGGCCGGAGTGAATGAAGGAGCAGCGCTTCCTGGACTGGATAGTCGTGGGACTGGGGCCGGAGCCAGGTAAGATACAGCAGCCCCCTGCCCACCCCTGTACTTAGTGTCCCTTCCTGTCCCGCCCCTGCCAGCGGGCCGGATAAATGGCTTCAGCAGTCCGCATGTGGCCCGCGGGCCTTAGTTTGAGGACCCCTGCTTTATAGGGTCATAGATCTGTATCTTGACTGCTACCATCAAATTAATTTGCCTGCTCCTAAATGCCAACTACTAAGAAACCCGAGAACAGCAAACACAAGCTACACTAAATTGGGGTTTGGAAACTGAGATCTAGCCTGCAACCTGTGGGAGCCATATTTTCTGCCATCTTTTTAAGGTATCTTGTGTTGTTACCCTTTCTCCCAAAATGTATTTAAGGCAATACAATTGCAAAAAAGAATAAAGTGACCAGTGCCCAATTTATTCACCCCACCATATGCCAAGGATTCAACCTTGATGGTGGATACACCCAGGAGAGTAAGTACTGGGGCATTTAAAGACCTACTAAACCACTTTTGAGGTCATTTCACTCCACGGTGCTAAACAAGTAAATTAATTTTGTAACATCTGAGTGGTGGCAATTATCCAACTGACGTAAATAAAAGAACCCATGTCGGCTTCTACTATGTCCCAGCAGTCATGAGGGTTCATTACATAGTTAATGAGCCAGGAACAAAACTGCTAATTGTCTAATAAATAGGATTTACCCTATAATACCTGTTTTATGGTGAGAAATCAAACTCAAGCCATCATCATATGGCTAGAGAAGACATGTTGTAAATATAGGGAAAAACTCAGGGTACCCAGGATATAGCCTATAGCAGTGGTTCTTAACCTCTGCTTGGCCCTGGTTTCCTGTCTGCTCTGACAGCTAGACTAGCTGTTAGAGCAGATGGCGGTCACAACTTGACAGAAGTGAGTTATCCTTCACTCCCACCAGCTTCTGTAGTGGGGGTGAAGATGAGGGTGTCCTGTCTTTGAGTGCCAGATAGTTCCAGCAAAGTGATGCACACCAGAGTTCAGCTACCCTAGTAGTAGAGAGCAGCAGCTGGAGCTGGCTGGAGAAAACTGTGCACTTTTGTCTTTTTTCTAGGAGCCAGCAGGAGCATAGAACAGCATGGATCTTGGAGTCATAGAGGATCTCATTGCTGCTGATGCCTATTTCACAATAAAACAACACCTCCTGCGCATGAGTGTGGTGGTCTAGTAGCAATTCTTCACATACACTACAGTACACGGATACTTCAGTCCTTGCTGCCCTCTAAGGACTGGGGTTGTCCCAAATAGAAACTGCAAAAAACAAACAGAAGAGGGCGCACCAGCCCAGTGCCTTATTCCATATGACATTTATTAGTAATCTGTACAAAATGTACTTACAAACCATGTAGAAATGACAGCATATCAAGCTACTAATTCATAGCACAGTAGTTCATCAGTCTCAGAATACTGCCAAGCCAAGGAGAACCCTGAAAGGGATCCTAGCTGGCTTATGCATTTCAAAGGCTAAACGCTATTCTTCAGAGCAAAACCATCATATTCCTCACAGCATAACAATTTATACCATACTAACCATGATGTGAGAGCCACAAACTCCTTCCACCATAGGGGCAGACACCTACATAGGGGTCATGTGATTATAAAATTGTCAAATAAGACATATAGTTATGTAGTCAAATTCTTCACACATTCGTTACCAAGCATGCCGTAGGAATGTTCCCCCACATCAAAATATTAGCCAAAAATAGTATAACATATTACATAAAGTATTACATATATAATTGCATATAAAGTGTTTGTCACATACCAATGTATTCTATTTTTTGTCACAACTGGTGTCCATACTTTCCCACTCCTCCTAGTGTGCTTGGTGCAGTATTCAGCTGTGAAAACAGACAACTCTATGTGACTGAAATATTAACAATTAGGGGATCTATCCAAAATGGCTGCCTAGCAGTATGTGGAACGCACGCTACTGCAGAGGGCCGGAAATGCAGGCCAGAAATGTGATTCAGCCACCACTTCCAATTCTACCTTGTCCCGTCCCACAGGAGACGTGCAGAGGACGGTGCAGCATGGCCCAATTGAAAAGGCCATGAGCCCAGAAGCCAACACAGCCCCCCCACTGGTGTCTTGGTAACACACACGGACTGAAATTTTGCCCCTTCAGAATGTCGAAGGAAGATATCTATACAGTCAAATGATGAATTCCCTGATAAGAATTATATATACATTTTCTTGAAAAAAAAAAAAAAACAGCGTGCAGTCCCCCGCCTAATCCATACCAGACCCTTTAGGTCAGGTAGGAAGGTTAGGAGGGACCCCACAGTAAAACAATTGTTAAAAAAAGTGTGTGTGGCTCCCCCTAAAAGCCACACCAGGACCATTAGGCCTGGTAGGACTTTTAAGGGGAACCCCACCCAGGGGAAACATGTGGTCCCCCCTAAATTCCTACCAAACCTTTGATCCGAGCACAGGCCTGGCAGGTCAGGAAAGGGGGGGGGAGATCGAGTGCCCCCCCCCCATGGCTTACCAGACCACATGTGCTTGGCATGCTGAGTGGACAAGGGCCTCTTCCCCACAACCCTGGCCTAGTGGTTGTGGGGGTCTGCGGGGGGCTCATTAGCATAAGGGTAAACCTTCAAATAAGGGGGCACCCTGATGCTGCCCCACCCTTGTGAATGAGTAAGGGATACTTGTACCCCTACCCATTCATTAAAGAGTTAAATTTAGAAAAAATAAAGAGACCAGTCTTTTGAAAAATTCCTTTAATGGAACAAAAAAAAACTGTTTTTGACAAGTCCTTTAATTAAAAAAAAGCCCCAAAAAATGGTCCATCATTGTATTCCATAATCAATCATGGTGTCCAGTGTTGTCATGATGAAGCCGACTCACCAAAGAAATAAACGAAACCCGCTGCCCATCAACCCGTCCGCACCTGCCATATTTGCTGGTCAGATGTAAACATTTGGGTGGAGCTAGCAGTGATGTCCTCACTAGCTCCACCCAATTGTGCTGTGATTGACCAAAGCTGTGGTCAGGTGCATTGCTTTGGCCAATCATGGCTCTCACAATCCACTGTGAGAGAGCAGTGCATTGTGGGTGCGGCAGACGAATAGCCCACTGAACGCCCTTACCATTCGTGTGTTCAACTCGAACATCAAGCCTATCCCTAGACCAAATATATAGTTCATGACAATAATTCTGGTAAGACATGCCACCAAATGAAGCTGGGAACCTCTGCATGTAGAAATACAATTCTCCCAGAAGATCAAAACAAATCATTTAAAAAAATATTCATAAAAAGAATATATATCAAAATTATTTCTACAGCATAAGACATGACCATGGGGTATGATATAGAAAACTGTATATATAGTTAGAAATAAATAATAATGTGAAAATGTTTAATTAGAAAACAATTGCTATCTACAAAACAGTATTAATTTAAAAAAATATTACACACATTTGCCGAATAGCAAAGTGCACTCAAATAGGGCAGCCAAGCGCTTTGGGTTATCACGTCATGTGAATGGTACCAACAAATTCATTTTAAAAATGGTATATATAAATTACCACAGTAAAAAAGCTCATATTACTCATCAAAGTAAAAAATAAATTAATTAATTAGCACAATAAAAAAAATAAGATAACAATATAAAATACAATCAATATCAAAACAATATGCAATCTCATAAATCCACTTAAAGGATATGATAAAAAATATGAATTATTAATATATTATTAAAACTGCTGTTGGGGATCATTCATCTAGGGTCCCTGTATGGCGGTTGTCAAAACATATATAACATATAATACTAATGTGACTAAGTGCCTTTATTCCCCAATATGAATACAGAGAACACTTTGCTGACAACATATAAGAACCGTATATGGAAAGAGAAAATACACAAATATCTGACTGGGGAAATGATTCATATTGATTCATAGAAAAGACCCCTAAATGTATATGGTTGCTGTTATAAACCTTGTACCATTACTCTCTACTAGGACCACTAGAGGACTATATTACGATTTTTGGCATCCCCATTGAGTCCTATCGGAGCCAATGCGCTCTACATGAAGATCCAGTAGACTTCTCTCCAACATAGTGGTGCATGCAATGATCATCAAAACAATGAACAAAAATTCAGTGCTCACACAATATAGAATAGGATGGTGACAGTAGGCATAATTAAAGGAAAAATTAAGACTGACTGTATACAAGATGTGATGACGAAGAGTCACAGAGTCAGTATGTCCATGGGATGGGCCAATGGAGGAGGATGCAGACCAAGGAACCAGGGCACATGGATTGGAGCCGGCAAATCCTCATCAGGGATGGTGAGGATGTGGTAACAATTTTACAAGCAGTCAATGCGTCTTGAGGCTGAACAAAATGAAGACGGGATGGAGCAGACAGGAAAAGCACATAGGATGGAACCAGGAGCTCCTCATCAAGTATCCCTCGAAGACAAGCAGAAGAGAAAGGAGGGCGCCAGGTCCGGGTGAGTAAAAACAGTAATAAGCTTTATTACAGAAGACTTACATCTAAAACTCCTTCAGTCAGCATATGGAATTAGAAGGCAAGCAGAAGAGCAGGATCGCAGTTCACTCTGATGGATGGATCAGTGATACCAGCAAGACCATGGAGGG